AGAACGTATTTGAAAACTTTATTGAATTACGGTCCTGCGGCAAAACCATCCCATTTAACGAGTGCATTATGGTGCAAGGCAACAAAGATGGACGATGTGTTGGATCCCAACGCGAGACTCGTCAAGCGACGTACACTACTACCAGCAAAGAAATCGATTGATCTGATTGGTTATCTTGACTGCGATGTATGCAATCGGGAAAAATTACTCATCAATGGCGTTGAGGTTAGAATGCGATTAGTAAGATCTTGCGATACATTTTGTCTCATAGACACTTCAAACTTGGTTTCCGTTCGTATCAAAGAAGCAAATCTTTTAGAAAGAAACGTTAAAATAAGTCCATCTGTTTTATTAGCCCATACCAAAGCTCCGTCAAAGAGTATAGCAAAATATCCGCTCACGCGTATCGAAGTAAAAGCTGTGACGATGCATAGTGGTATTCATGGCAAAACTTTAGATAATATTATTTTGGGCCAGTTACCTAAGCGAATAATTGTCGGTTTCGTTAAAAATCAAGCTTACAGTTGCGATCATACTATGAATCCGTTTAGTTTTCATCATTTCAATATAAATTCTCTTTGTTTGTACATTGACGATATTCAAGTTTCTTCCAAACCATTACAGCCAGACTTTAAAACAAATAATTTATATGTAGATGCTCATCATACCTTGTTTTTGGGTACGGGCGTTCACTCTCTCAGAGGAGGAAACCACATTCATCGCGAATTTTATCCCAACGGTTACGGTCTCTTTGCTTTCAATTTAACACCAGATTTATCGGCCAATGAATGTTCTCATTGGAACCTAATTAAACACGGTAGTGTTAGATTGGACGTTCGATTTGCCGACGCTCTAACTTCGACTGTTGATTGTATAGTGCATGCCAAGTATGAGAATATTTTCGAAATCGATGAGTAGTCTATACATATCGACTATATACATATAGTAGTCTATATATATCATACTTACTCTATTATATCTCTATATATTATATCTAGTACATATATTATACTTACACTCACTACTCGGACACGCCAATCATCTCTGGGGTTAATTGCTACTGATACGCTCAATCATCCATAAACTGCAATGGAGCTTGAAGTCGACATTCAGTATTTCAAGGTGAAAAAAGACGTAACGGTGCCGACAGCAGTTGCTATTGTTGCTTTGAACAAAAACTTTCCCGCACATTGGGTAGTGACACCACCTTATCGCTTGCAAAAATTGAGTTAGGAGGGGCAACGACAAAATATTTGGTTGTCTTGACGTCATCATGGACTTGATTTCTTTGAAGGTGAAGTACACAATATCGTCGTAGTTTAGTTCTAAAAAAGGTGACCTTTGATCATTTAAGCGAATTTATTGACAAATGTATTGGTTGAGATTTACGTGTATTGATTGATTTGTCGAATTTGATGCCTACTGTTGTGCAGAAATTTGTAGATTATATTTCAGAAAAAGGTAGTTATATATATGAAGCGCAAATCGATTATAATAGACCCAATATTGTAAAGAAAATTGTAAGAGATATGACTGGAGAAACCTATTAATATTATAAAAAGAATACCCATACTAAACGAGAGGGAGAATTTTGAACCTCACTCGTAACTCAAAAGTGGGGAAGCCCTCTCTCAACACTTAAAGTTGGGAGGAGGACCTAACCGTGGTGGGCTCATGTCTCCCACCCCGTATGCCTCGTCTTTGCTCATCATGGAAAGTTCCTACGTAGGTGGTGGGGGTTTGTTGTGACGGGCCATAGTGTTGCAACAACTACTGGTATTGAAAAAAATCTACCTACGAGTTAATTATTGTTAACTTATTTGGTGAGCAAAATTTAGAGGCATGTTATAGTGCATTTTAAACAATGCAAACGTTAAACGTAAGGAAAATTTTGCGTTTGTAGGGTGCAAGAGGGGGTGCGTGATATAGGTGGCCAAGCTGCGCAGACAAAGGGGACTCCCCTTCCCTCGTCCCTTTGAACGATACTCCCGAACCTCCTTAAACTTCTTTGTCCTACTTGCTATAAGGCCGGTACTTGCTGACTTTATGTGTTTAGGCTTTGTGGCTCACTTCGGTTGTCACTTGACACTTCTGAGAGCCACAAGGTACGCAGTCAATTTTGTTAGGGGATAACTTTTGTTAAGTACGACTCTTTTAACAGTCTTAAAATTTTATCATGGAGGGAATAAATATAATATAAAATGGTATAAAAATAGAAAATTCATTTATTTACGCAAGTCATCACTTAACACTAACATTCTGCTTCTCTGCCTTAGAAAAGACAATGTTACAAATTTAACTGCCAATATTAACTAATTCTTACTCATTTATTTTGTTAGAAGTGTTTTGAGATAACTTTTTAGCTTTGTCAGGCATTGAACACATACATATTTTTTTTATACTTAAGATGGATAGCTTAAGATCCTTATTTGATTTAAATAA